TGCTCCAAAAATCCACAGCTATAATGGGGGTTGTTACTGACATCATAATATATTTTCTCTTTTAGCAGGTCACAAGGGAAAATGAAAAATGAAATTTTACTTCATTTTGGTCTCCCAGAATGACAAAAATTTAGCACCAATTTAAGCATTGATCTATACTTTAGAAAAAATTTATATTTTAATTGGCTGAAATTTTGACAGACAAAAGTAATGGGTTTTTTTCAAGACTATGTTTAGTTTTAGTAATGATTTTCTTTGAATATCCATATTACCCAGTGCTATCTTGATTGAGAGTAGAAACAGAATTTAATAATAAACATTGAGATTAGGCTATGAAATCTTATGTCAATTTTAGGCAGTCTTTATAGCTATTGGTATAACAGTTGCTTTGTTCTCTGACTATAGGAACAATTGTGTTATTTTCCTAGAAATTTACTTCTACTTAATACTTTAATATTTCAAGGATTCAGAAAGTACAGCTCTTCTTTATGGAAATATATGTGAATATTTTAATTTGAAAGTTCTATTATGAAATTACTTTAGAAACTGGGTGTATTGTTTACACTAAACTCAAATTCATGTATAGGTTTACCTCCAGGACTAGGTGAAACCAGACTCTTAAGGTGAAGGTAAGTGCTGTATTTGTACTCTATTTTGTCCAATGCTCCAATAACCTACTGGCCTCTATTTGGTCCTATGAAAAATTGGGGTACTGCAGTTATTATTTTTCAGTTACTGTGATAAAATACCATGACCAAAAGCAAATTAAATGAGAAAAGGTTTATTTTAACATAAAGTTTCAGAGGAAATCAGTCCTTGTGGCAGAGAAAGCATGGTGTGGGGCAGAAGCAAGAAGCTACTTGATCACATTTCCATCCGCACAGGAGAGAGAGGGAGAGAGAGAGAGAGAGAGAGAGAGAGAGAGAGAGAGAGGTTATAAACCTTCAAAAGTCTTCCCCCAGTGATATATTTCCCCCAGCAAGTAACCACCTTTCAAAGATTCCATTACTTTCCCCAAACAGCACCACCGACAGGGACCAAGTGTTCGTATATCAACCTATAGAGGATATGTTTTATTCAAACCGTTACATATAGTTTTACAATGAATCTTTTGAACATTTAAAGGAAACAGTTAGGACCAGTACTCTCTTCTATAGATATAAAAATGGCATGTCATATTTGAAAAAAAAACCCAAAAAGGAAAATATAATAGCAGATGTTATATTGGAAAGTCCTGCTCTGGAAATGAAGGGATGGTTCACTATGTGAACTAAGTGAAATCAGTCCAGACACTGCTCAGGAGCTTGCAGTTAGTTTATGGTGACATTCAGAACCCTGGGTGAGTAGACAACTGGTATGACTGGCAAATGACACAACGAATACAGCACTACAGACAACCGGAAGAAGCAGGTCAAGCAGGAGCCACTGATTTAGTGTGCAGAAGTTCAGTATTTGGACAGTTCCCCAAGGCTGGGCTTCACTAGAACACTTAACCATAACAGTGCCGAAGCTACTCCTGTAATTCTCACCTACACTCTTACAGGACCTTAATTCTAAGAAAATCATTTGTATTCATCCAGAAAGTACTGTGGTCTGTGTTTCACAGAAAGGCTAAACCTTCAGTCGCCTTTTGAGAGGCTCATGACTGGGCTTTCTTTCATTCATCATACTAGATTCTGAACAGATTTATTGGTACAATAACCTTACTGGATAAGAGTTGCATTCAGGTCATGGAAAGAGACCCTTCCTAACACCGTGTGTCCATCCCTACCTAGTTATTCCAGGTCATACACCTGAAGGCCAGTCAGCAGCCGTTCTGTAGTGAACTGAAATGAAGCATCCAGGAAGGCGGGGTGGGGGAAGGCTTTAGGAACCAACTAGAGTTCTGCTAGGGGCATGTGGCATAACTGTCAGATTAAGGCCCTCCTTTTAGGCTTTAGCAAGTAACAGAATTGTTCTTTGGAGCAAGATATTTGACCCAGTTTTCCAGAGTCAGAAGTAACTCAGGAGAATCATTTTGGTTTCTAAACAATAAAACAACATACAAATGTCTTTTTAGTTATATATAACCACTAAGATAAAAATTAGAATTAACAATGAAAGAAAAATGTATGTGCATGAAAAATGATTAAATGAACACTTTTTCCCCTTACAATTGCAGTACAGGTAGGCATTTTCTGTTATAAAACCAAGTGGTGAGACTGAAGCACAGAAACAAAAGAAACTGATCCTCTCAATAATGAGTAGCTCAATCAGTCAGTGCACAGAGGATTTCTTTGACCTTTGCTAATAAAAAAGACGTAGTTCTTCATATTCAGGGGAAGAGATGCAGCAAATTGGGCAAAGAGAACAGGAATGCCTTCTATTCTAGCTGTGTGACTGGCCAGGCTGTCCCAGCTTGCAGACTGAATTTTCAGAGGATCTTTCAATGTGAAGGACACCACATGGTTAACAGAAAGTCTATAACTTTCATTCTGAGACTAACTCAATATTTTCTTTGGTATATTCACATATTACTGAAAATAGATTTTCCAGTCTGGCCAAGGGTTCCCAAGAACTGGGAGGATACAAGAAAGTGTAGTAAGAAGAGAAGTAACAAAGGCCCAGTCACTGCAAATGGTACTTAGATGATTTAGAGAAATAGGGCTTAACCCTTAAAACCTTGAGAAGCACTGAGATTGTGAAAGTTTGACAAATGTAGACGCTCTCAGTATTTCTTGTCTAGTTGAGTAGCACGTGGTATTTCCTCTGTACATTCTAAAAGCACCAACTTCAGAAAAGGAAGCCTCTTGGTTTCCTTGAAAGAAATAGTAAGTAGTACTTTTAATTTGGAGCGCATAACAAGTGCAGGAATACAACAGAAGGTGTATTTTATTGGGCCCTTAGGTGAATCATAGGATAATTTGAAGATCCTGAGTTTTGAGAATGTTCCCTGGAGGGGTCTATGTGATTCAACAAAAGAGATTTGAATTTATCCAAGTACACACTGATGTTGATACCACTGACAAAGTCAAACATGAAAACCAGACTAACTATTCTATAATCAGTTCTGCATATGATGGAGTGATTAAAAACTTGTCACCTAACCTAGAAAAGTATACTCACGGTTCTGAAGACGTCTAAAGAAGAGTCGGGGGAATTACTTTGTCTTACAAAGTTTGTTATATTGGAATGGTTTCAGGATATTTCTCCCATAAATTAATTGGAGGCTGGGGGATATGATGGCACACACCTTTAGTTCTAGCACTTGGGAGGCAGAGGCAGATGGATCTCTGTGAGACTGAGGCCAGTCTGGACCTCATTCCAAGTTTCAGACCAGTTGGAGCTACAGGAAGACCTTGTCTCAAAAAAGACAAAAAATTAATTGGAATATAAAACTTAATCTAACGTAGATTTTCGGAAATAGATACAAAATTTCACAGCATCTATTTTATTATAAGAACAATAGAAATTTAACACGAATATATGGCTTTTTAGCTTATAGTCAGTCTAAGCAGTCTCTTTTGTAAACAAAAAGTTCTAATCATTCACACTCCTGATATGAAGGTCTTGTATGCTAAGTTACTGATTTTTTTTACTGTATAAATAGGGTGTTTAAAAAAGTTAATTAAATGCAATACATTACTATTGGGGTATATATAAACTAATGAATATTGTAGTTAAACAGCTCAGAGGAAAATAGTCTATGTAATTCATTTTTCATTTACTCTGATTTATTTCATTTAATTATATTCTACGATTATACAACACCTAGCACTTCTCATATAATTTAAGGCATCTTTATCTTTTCAAAACGCTTTTATATAAAGTGCTTTAAATCAATTTCTACTATCATTTTATTCTTGAAGTTATGGAGAGAATATAGCACTAATGCACCAATCATTTGCTGAATACGTTTGTGTATGTCCTGAAAATGTGGCAATAAGCTACAGTCTCTGTCATCATTTAGGAAAAAGTCTCAGCCTGAATTTCGTTAGGAGTGCTAGATAGTGGAAGAGGTTTTAATACCTCTATAAACTTCATAATACTGAGTTCCTACTCACTGTACTATACACTAAGAAAATAAAGGAGAAAGAAGAGGTCCAAACTGTTGACATGGCAGATCTGGCTCAATTGATGTTGATTGGTAGAATTCAGATGCAGGATGGGCTAAGCAGTCATGCATATATTGTGAGTTTTGTTATTAAGATTGCTCAATATTAGCTGTGGTTCAGTAAAAATAATTTCAACTTCAGACTGGACAATAATGCATGCATATATACTTTAAACCTATAACTGTGAAGTAAGAATGAAAGAAAATGCTTTCTACTTTTTTATGTTATTTAAAAATATGCTCTGTCTGTATGGATTTAAAGTTTCAACAAACACAAACTAGATGCATGTAAATATCCATGTACAAATACGACTTATATCGATATATTATTACTTGTATTTTTCAAAGCTATTATTTCCCTTTACAGATAAGCTTACTAAGGTCATTGATATGATTACTATTTATAGTGGGTAAGTAACACAGACAGATTTGGAACTGAAGAATAGTTTCTCTGGCTTTGCAGTGCCCTAAAGTTCAGTGTTTAAGATCTACTCCTTGTTCATATTTGACTCCAGTACACAAAGAGACCTGGTGTTGCACTAGAACTGGAATCCGTCTATAGATCATATTTTCCTACCTCGTGATTTTGCATGGGAGGTAAGTAAAGGCAAATGAGATGCAATAACCTAAGAATGCAACACAGATGTTAAGTACCCTGTCCTCTGAGATCCACTGAGGCACGATTACATCAAGTTTATATGTGCATATTTTTATTAACATCTGAAGAGAAGAAATAAATTCAGATTTGTTTTAATATGTCTCTGAAATCATTTTATTAAAACTCTCAGACCAAAATCAGCGCATATTTGTAATGTGGTATCCTGATGCTTTTAGATCAATCAAATGAACAAACAAACAACTAACGCAATACAACAATGAGCAGATCTTGCAGGCAGTTTGTGCTTACCTTCATAGGTCCCACTTTCTAGGAGAGCACCGCTTTTCTCCAATTCCATAAAATCTTCAACAGTTATGAAAATGTAGTCCACTCCAGGGACCTCACCCTCCTTATGTGGTCTTGTGGTGCCTGAGTAAGGAAAATCAAAACAAAAGAAAAAGTCTAAGTGTTATGCTGCTGAGTTTTAGAAATACCAACATACTTTTGAATATTCAAGAACACTTGTTTGCACACCCTGTGAGTTTGGCATTTTGCATATGTCCTTCTGTGTGTTTGGCAACAGAAAATAGCAGGGGTAAAGATTAAAGTAAATGGACAAAGCATTTTCTTCATTAAGCTTACAGAGTTCATTGTCATGGATTGTGGCTGCATAAATTTTTCAGTAGAAACTGCAAACCATTGTGCCCTGTTTGAAGAGGTGGCTTGAGAATGGTGGGCCAGGAGGCTCAAGCTCAGGAATTTCCATTTCTCTCCTCCCGTGAATGGGCTTCTATTGTTCTGCAGACTGCTGTGCTATGACATCAATATATAATGGAAAGCAGAAATATTAGCAAAATGTCCATTTATCTTTGCATCCTCCTGAACTACTTTCTTTTGGGGGGGGATATGTGGCTGGCTTTTATTTGTTAATTTCACAACCCCAAACCCAATATATATCAGATGTAAATGTTCACAAATCTTACTGTTGTTTCAAAATTTAATAATGATTGGAACTGAGTGATAATTAAAATCACACTAATAATTACATTGGAGGCAATATAACATATGAATCAACAGGACATTCCTCAATACTTCCATTGTAAGGCCTTCCTTTCTTCCTTTCCTACTTTCTCTAATTCCGACTGAGGCTGAGATGGGAGGTGACACTCTTCCCGGGGCTACTGAATGGGTCCAGTGCTCCAACTTAGTATATCCCCCACTTAGGGAACAGAGCTTCAGAGAGCTAGGCTGACAAGACCACTAGCGGCTATGCTGGAGAAAGCAGCCTTCCAGGCTTTCTGTCCAAATCATGATGTGGGAGCAGAAATGGAGAGTTATAAAAGCCAACTATACCCTAACTTCTTCCTTTCTCTTCTTATATCATCTATAGGGTGTTTTTGCATGGTCAGCTAGGAATTTACATAATGTACACATGCAAATAAGTGTACAGCAATATACAGAGAAAATGTGGAAGCAAAGTGATGCCTTGGCAGACTTCTTCATAATTAAATGTTCATTGTATGGTCGATATACCAAACAAAAAGCATTTTAAATTCTCATTTTATTTTTACTTTGTATTTTAAATCTTTATTAACTATGTCATAAAAGTAACAGTTACTTGTGGCTTGGGTCTATTAGGATCAAATCTGAACTGCAAATTAGAATTTTAAACTAATTTCAGAATGTTATATTATGTGTGCTATGAATATTGGTTGGGGGTAAAATTAAATATTTCTTATTAGTTTTTTGAAGGCATTATTTTCTAAGGTTAAGCTTTCCAACCTTTCTTTGGGGGTTGCAAAACATTTTTTTTCCTATAATCATGCTTAATGACTTTCCCCTGAATTTGTTATTTCATATAATTTAATTGAGCCACCTTATTCAGTATTTCCAGTTCCTTTTATGCTGTAAAATAAGCCTCCTACACCTAATATGTATAATTTGTTGTCAAATTAATGTTTCTATGAGAACTTTAACTTTCAATATCCTGACTCTTATGTACTTAACCCTTATGAATTAAAAAGGCATTAAGATAGTTTTTGGCAATCAATTTGTTTTTCTGTTTATTTAGAGCACACTCTAATCATTAAGCAAAATCACATAACAAAGATTCAATTCTCCTTACTAATTTATCTCCATATTTCAGAAGTCACATGTTTTGATTAATTGAGTGCCTGCAGTATACTAATGCATTCCTAGCCCAATAATGGCCCAGGAGTACACACTGAAGGCCAAATCTAGAGTAACAAATTCTAGTGATGCATCGTGGTGGTGTTTTCTTTAGTGCACTGAGTATTTTCCCATCTCCACATTGTTCTTCAGTCCTCCATGCCTCTGAGATGGATCTGTGTCTTCTGTTACTAACCCATCCTTCTGACTCTCACTGGGAGTTGGACAACCTCCCTGCTTCTTGAAGAAGTTCTGCTGTAGTCTCAACACTGTGATGCTGGCTGCTACATCCATCCTTTATCCTCGCTCCCATTTCTGTTCTTTTGTTATTATGACCTACAGTTTCTTGACCTTGTCTTCCCCAAATCTGGCTTTATTTGCCTTTCTAATTATTTGGATGCAAAAACAATATGGAATCTCTTCCTTCTTTTAGTTTATCATTTTCCCACTTGTGATAAATCCCTATGTCCATTCTTAGTCTGACACTGCTATCAAATATCGTAAACTTGAACTCTGTAGATTTCAGTTATTTAATGTCACTTTGACTCTACCCAGACTAGGAATCCTTTTATACATGTCTTCCTAAAGCTCTGAGACATCCCCTCCATTTTCTAATACTAAACTGCTCTGACTTTTTGCAGAAGACATGAGCTCATTCTTTTCTTGGTAAAGTAAGAGATAATTTGATCCAAAAACTTAAGTTCTACTTTACCTGCATTACAATTCATAGTTCCTCATTTCCTTCTATTACTTGATTAGAGCTATGTTTTGATCTTAGATAAACCCTTTCTCCCTTGTTTACTTTCAAAATTTAAGGTTTTTAAAAAAGTCTAAACTACAGATATTTTTTAAAGTATTTTTTAAAGCAATTTGATAAGTATTTTTCATAGAGCAGATGCCAACTACTACTTCCATATTCTACCCCATGGACACATGTGCATGTTCATAGAACACAGATACACACACACAGACACACAAAGACACACACAGACACACACACACACACACACACACACACACACACACACACCACGCACACACATGCGCATATCTTCCTTTGTCCAGGATCAAATGTGCTTAACTTTTAAAGCTGATTCTTTTGCTTTGCTTTCAAATCTCTAGACTACTTATGATGCTTTTTGATTTTCTTCTCCTTTAGCCATTATTTCTTGATTAAAGAGTAATGAAAATGAGAATTTAATTCTGTCTTGTCCCTCACAAACACCACAGCTTACTTGCTTCTATGTTTTCAGCAGAAAGAACTCATGTTTGGATAATTACTTAATACTTATTATACTCTGTAAATCTTTTCCCAGTTGAACTTGACTACTTTTCCTTTTTTATGTAACTTTTGATTACTTTAGATTTAATATTTTCAGTTCATATGTTCTATCTATGAATCATTAATTCAACTGATGAATTGCTCTTTGTTGGATAAATTCATTTCAATGTTAATACTACATATGGTATTTCATTTTTCCTGCTGCAGAACTCTCTCCTGGCATCTTCTAACCTGATCCAATCTGGACTTTCTCAGTCTCCACACAGCTGCCAACAGCCTTGGGATTCACGTTGCCTCCACCTTGTGCTGCAGCTCTTCTTCCCCAGTTCTCATGCCTATTTTTATGGTCTCCACCCTCATTTTGGCAGAGCACATCTGTCAGAAGCTTCCTGTCAGAGGTAGCATGGAAGCCACATTGTTGTGAGAGTCTGCATGTCAGAACTCCTCTTTTTCCACCCCCACGGGAGGCAAATCTGACAGTATTTCAGGAACAAATGATGAGAACGGATTTCTCCATCTTGCTCTTCTGTGAATCTCATCACTGCTCTTCCACTCATGCCATCTGGAAGCTTTCCCTCACAGTCACTTTCTAGTCCTCTTCGCTCTTCCATTCCACCTCCACTTAGTAAGTCCCAGGCCTGTGACTCCTCAGCATTGCCCTCCCATCTGCAAACACTGCCCTCCTGCACCCAGTAATGGGCTTGTCCTTGGAGTGTCTGGCTCCCTCTCTTAGTTATCACTAGCCTTCCTGACTAGCCCTGGCAAGACCATTCTTGGGCATAATTCCTCTCTAACTGCCTGTTTACTCAATCTCTGGTCAAGAGAGGTGATTGAAAGCACAGAGAATGGGAAATTCTGAAAGTTTGAAAGTCTGAGATGGCTCAGACAGATTCCAGTGTTTACAAAAGAAGGCAAAGGCTCAGGGCCAGCAAGCTGGAGTTTCTTCAACAGACTTGCTTTCATGGTACACGAGAGAGGACATAATTTAAGAATTTTCAGCTCAAGAAATACTCAACTTGCTTTCTCTTTAACCTAAAATTTCTATTATTAGAATGAATTGTTGGTTTAGAGGGAAAAGCACTTTTAAGTTGTATGCTTCTGCAGATAAGCTGTGGCCTCAAGCTGCTTGCTGGAGTTCTCACATCTGCTCCCAGTATTACCTGAAGCAAGGTCTTTCACTCTAGGGACGCTAGCATTCTTAGGTATAAAATGGGAAGGTTACAAGTAGCATCACTGTAGATCTAAAGTACAGGACAAATTAAACAATTCCTATAAAGTCCTTAGATAATATCTGACACGTAATAGGCACTTAACAAGGGCTATAGCCTTAGCATTGTTGTTTTAAAGGGTAGGATTGGCATTATAGATTGCTTTTGTTTTTGTGAACTTACGCTAGAAATACTAAGTACTTAGAATGTGGTAAGCAACATAGTAGATGCTTGTGATACATTTTTGAACAGCACAGAATAAGACACTTGCCCTTATGGAATTTGTATTTTAACAGATAATAGCAAAAAAATAAGTTATGTGCCATTTTATAGTGATTTAAGAGTTCTACAGTTTCAGTTGACTAGCACAGCTTACTAGGTCAATTGTTGAAATTTCCAAGTACTAACAAATACGAGGTAAAGGTTGAAGAGCGAAAAGACCTGAAGAGGTGTAGACACCTGCAATAGGATGGGGCATCAGCCTTCCTAGAGAGACTACTGACCCCTGTGAGGAGCAGAAGAAACAAAAAGAGCTTGGTCGTATTTTGGAAAAGATCAACAAATTCAGAAAAACATGTTGATTAATTTAGTTTATATCATTTAGTTTATCACGTTGGTGCCTAATATAGGTTATTATTTTTAAAATATTTTATTTATTTTTTTATTTATTTTAGGTGTATGAGTGTATTGACTGTATGTATGTAAGTGAACCGTGTTGTGCAATGCCTGCAGAGGTCAGAAGAGGGCATCAGATCTCCTTAACTGAAGTT